GACGGTAGGCCTGGGAATTTCTTGTATTGTAAGAGTGGAATTGATTGCCTTGAGAGAAATTGTTATTAAACTTTGGAGGTAAGAATGAATTTTTGCAAGAATACATAAATTGGCCCAGTTGAAGAAAATGGATATCATTAAATTTTAGTATACCGAGGTCCTTAAAGATGGGTTCAGTATGAGTATTGAAATGTGATTTATTAATAATTCTAATAATGCGCTCTTGCAGGATAACAAGGCGGCGGAGATTGGTTTTATAGGTCGAAGCCCGAACGATATTGCAGTAGTAAAAATAAGGATAAATTAAATTAAGGAATCGTAGAGCATACGTAAAGACGATTTAGGAAGAAAGAAGCTGCATCTAGATACTATACCGATTGACTTCGCAACTTTACTTGCAACGTGTGATATTTCCGACTTCCAATTAAGGTTTTCATCCAAAATTACGCCTAGAAAATTTGTCTCCTTTACTTCAACAACATTTTGCTTATCTATACTTATTTGACTATTAAAAATTGAACGCTTTTGTCTTGGTTTAAAGACCATAAATTTAGTCTTTTCAAGATTTAGAGAAAGCTTGTTTGCTTTAAACGAGTTTGACAGTTTGTCCATCTCTAAGTTTAACATATCTGAGAGATAGTTCAGATCTTTATGTGGCATGAATACATTGGTATCGTCAGCGAACAATATCAGATTTAAAAGATTAGAAGCATTGTTGATGTCGTTAATGCACAGTAAGAAAAGTAGAGGTCCGAGGATAGACCCCTGAGGGACCCCACAAGAGATTTCATTTCTTAACGAACGGTGGCCATTATATTCAACATATTGCTTTATGTCATAAGTAACTTCTTATCCAGTCCAGCGCTAAGCCACGAATACCGTAATGTTCGAGTTTATCAAAAAGGATGATATGATTTACAGTGTCAAAGGCTTTTGAGAGGTCAAGTAAAATACCAACGGAAAATTCACCTCGGTCAAAGACCGTGGAGATCTTATCATGCAAGTCGATTAGCGCGAGTGCAGTGGAATGATTTTTCCTGAAGCCGTATTGGTTACTACAGAGGATGTTGAAATTCATCAGATATTGCATTAAACGATTGTAGATAGCTCTTTCAAAGAATTTTGAAAAGCTGGGAAGCACCGAGATAGGTCGGTAGTTGGTGAAAAGCGACTGATCATCAGATTTAAAAATAGGTATCACGCGAGCGATTTTCATTTCATCGGGAACAATATCATGCTGGATTGACAAGTTTATGATATGGGTGAGTGGTTCAGAAACAAGTAGAATGGGCTCCTTAATGACTGTCATTGGAATCTGGTCGTAGCCAGCTGCTTTGCCTAGAAGAAAAGTTTTCGCAATCTCAGAGATCTCATCTTGAGTTGTAGGGTTGAAGAATATTGACTGTGTAGAGGAACCATTAAGAAAACTAGGGTGTGAAGCTGACGACTGTACACCCCCGTTGCTAAATTAGGACCGATGCTTGAAAAATGACTACAAAACTTGTTGGCAATTTCGACAGGATCAGTAATTTCACAATCATCAGCTTTAAATGTTGAGCATCTATTGGAATCTCTTTTGCATCTGTTTAGAATTTTATTTAAAACTTTCCAAGTAGCACGAGTATTAGATTGAACGTTACTCAATTTCTTCTCGTAGTATAGACGTTTTGCTGTCCACGGAGAATGATTTAATTTGTTTTTATAACTTTTTTAAATTGATTGACGATCCATTGTTGGATTTCGCAGATATTTTTTATAAAGCCTATTTTTCTTCTTAATACACTTAATAAGCGCATTGGATAGCCACGCCTTATTTAAACGGGACCGTTTTCTAGTTAATTTTTTCTACCTGATGACAAGTCTGCAAGAATGGAAAAGTAGTCTTGTTGCTCAGTGATCAAGTCGCACCAGGGTGACTGAAGCAAGCGACTTTTGGAAAACTAGCTCTGTCGCTATCAGCAGTGTTAAACACGATGGAAAGAGCTTCACATTGATTGTTATACAGGGAAACGCTTCGCAGAGGCCTCCATCATAAATTTCTTCAAAGAAGATGTTTTCCGCTATGTCTAACAAAAATGTTGACAAGGGGTGTTGTGGCGAAAAACAATAAAACACGCTTTTTCTATGTTTTATACTCTGATAAAACATGGGTTTTTGATCAATCATAGCGAGCACAGGGTCCTATCAATATTATCATGTGCTATAAAGGAAAAGAAAGAAAGGAAAGACAGGGGAAGAAAAGGAAACTGAAGACCAAGAGTTAAAGGTGGGAAATGGTCTTAGTAGATACTAGTTTTTTATTACTGTAAGAAGAACGAATAATTACTAGCAACTCAAATGGTGTTTATCTACCTCTTTTGGTTTAATACTTGTCCATCGCTTAACATAGCGGCTCTTGTACGAAATTTTGACTGAAGAGCCGACATTCAAGGGTTTTACATCCTGTAGATTAAGTCCGATGTCCGATGTCCAAATCTCCTGAAGGTTTGTAGAGACTAAGTTCCCGGTCACCACCTTCAACACCATTGGCCAACCTGTACCAAATAAAGAACTTGACATTTTATACTTATTGTATTTTTCACCATTTTTAATAACTCTATTGATTGACTGACCAACTGACTGACTGGCTGGCTGGCTGACTGGCTGACTGCATTGCTGACTCCATGGCTGACTGGCTGCCGCATGGCTGACTGGCTGACTGGCCGATCTATTGACTAGACATGTTTATTCAATGAAAACCCGAATGTATACCACATAACACCGCATAAATTATGTCGATTATCTCGCGTTGATGGCCACTCAGAGTAGACTTTTTTATATTGTCAAGCAACCAATAACA